TTGGCAAACTCATATACCTTGCTCACACTCGACCAGACATAGCATATTCTGTAAGTATGATCAGTCAATTCATGCATGATCTTAGAGAACCTCATCTTCAGGCCGCCTACAGGGTACTGCATTAGTTGAAAGGCAATCCGGGGAAAGGAATCTTGTTCAAAAAGAATGACACTCTTACTCTGGAAGCCTACACTGACGCTGACTATGCTGGCTCCATAGTGTATAGAAGATCAACTACAGGATATTGTACTTTTCTTGGAGGTAACCTAGTGACATGGAGGAGCAAGAAGCAGAATGTAGTGGCAAGGTCATCTGCAGAATCAAAGTTCAGAGCTATTGCTCAAGGATTATGTGAATTACTATTGCTGAGAATCATCTTGGAACATTTAAGAATTCCATGGGAGGGTCCTATGAAGCTCTACTGTGACAACAAGTCTGCCATTAATATAGCTCATAATCCTATACAACATGATAGGACAAAGCATATTGAGATTGATAGACATTCATCAAAGAAAAACTGGAGGAAGGGTTAGTGTGTATGTCCTATGTTCCATCAGAAAGACAATTAGTAAATGTTCTAACAAAGGGGTTGAATAGTTCAAGTTTCCATGATCATGTATCCAAGCTGGGAATGGAAGACATCTATTCCTCAGCTTGAGGGGGAGTGTCGAGATGTGACTGAGATGGAAATAAAGTTGTGAGAATTAATTCTAATTTCCTTAATTAAGGAAATTAGAATTAATTGGTAAATCCCTTAAATTAAGGAAATTAGAATAAATTTGTAATCCCTTAAATTAAGGGAATTAGTTAAATAGTTTCCTAATTTTTTTTTCCTTTTTATTTCCTATATAATACCTTGTATGATCAAGAAGGAAAAAAGGAATACAAATTATTCTTTCGATTTCCACATCGAGCTCTCTCCCAGCTGCCCTATACTCACTGCCGCCCCAAAATAGCCCTCCAAAAGCCCCTACACTTGTTGTAACCGCCCCCTCCCCCCATACATCCAACCATTGCAGCCACATACGACCCTTTCCAATCCACCTAACCAGCCACCACCATCAAGGGATAGGGCCCAAATTCAAGTTTATGTCTCGTGTCTGTTGTTGTTTCCTGTTTGTGTCTCACGAGAATAGTGTTAATCCAGAAATCCAGCGCAGTATCGTGTCTCTCGTTTCCTTCACTCGCATCCCCTCAGTCGTGTGTTCCTGTCGCTTGCCACAACTTTCCCACTTGTACAAATAAAGGAATGAAAATATCTTGAAAGTTTTCCCCATTATTTATTTTCTACAAAAGGTTCATAACTTAAAAACAAAATTGAACATCATAATTACAGGAAGCTTAAAATATGCCATAAAATTGTTGTATTTTTTTTTCTTATTCTCGTTTGCTTTTATTGCTATTATATTGTGATTGTACATTTCGAGTTAAGTCTTCAAAATCACAAAAAGTGAATTCATAAATGAAGGATAACGAAAGAACTGAGTTGAACCATAAAGCAATATTAATAAACCATATTGTATGATCCACATGTACAGATAGCTTAAAATTTCACGATCATAGTCAACTAACCCTGCTAACTGCATACAATTGTTATGTTAACTAGGATTAACTTTACTATAATATCCATATCGTATTATACTACCAGTCCTCAATCAAATACTTGTTTTCTAACTATTAGGATGATCAAAGAGACAAATTAACCATATTATACAATCTATATTATATTGTACAATTACACGCTCAAATTTTCTTATAAATAGCCAAGATGTCCCACTTGTTCACTCAAATTCCACCAATTCTCTTAAGATCTTTTAAGTGAGATTGAATCATTACCATGGCAACGAGATACGAGATTTTCATCATCCAGTTCCACAGCACAATCAAAGCTTTAAAGAAACAATAATGCTATTGCATGCAAAAGACATCGCAGATGTTCCATCATCGACTCAAAATCATTGCTGCAAGTACACCTTTCCTACTTTCATGATAATTTTATTGGCGCCATACTTAAATCATTAATTTCACTTGCCCATTGTTGTCACTATAAGCTCCTCTTTGAATTCTTTACGAACTTAATAATCAATAACGAACACAACATCATACCATTCATGATGTCATAAGCAACTACAGATCTTCGATAAAGACTTGCATAAATACATCCATATATATGCAATATCAATGTTCTCCCTCATATCCTTACTCTGACCCAATATACAACTGGTTTACCATAAAATATCTATAACTCATCCCTACCCTATCATCAGCCCCTCAGTGATCTCAAGCAACAAGCACGCCTTAGTTAAAAGGTGCTTCGAGTCATTCATAAAACTAGCAACTCCATCAACATCACCCTACTCCTGAGTTCAATGCTACAAATATGTCTATTAAGTAAGTATATTGTATTCAAAATCCTATGTGATAGCATTTGCCTTCAAAATAAGTATAATCTGAAGCATTTTGACCAAGCCAATCAGATTCTGACTCTTTTTTACCAATCGTTTATTTAACTTCCATTTCAAAGACAAACAGCATGTCAATTGAATTGACACGGTGATGAAGAAGTTGCCTAGCCGACAACATCGTCATTCGAAGCTTCACCTGCTTAGAGCTTAAAATTGAAGACCAGGTCACGTAAGAAAGATATGTAACCACTATAACAACAACAAAAGTATTGGAGACACCAGCAATACTGCAAAGCTAGACCTTGGTTTCACGTAAGTTTATTTAGATGAGAGACTACTTGCATGATTCTTTAGATCTCAACCCAAGGGCCGTCACGTTTTCTCCTTATTTTTTTGTACTTGCATCTTTGTCATTTGCTTTATATTTCCACTCCTTAGTATGTCAAAAAGAGAGAAGAAATTTGGTAGTAATTTCATTTAATATGAATAACTTATTTAAAAGAAATATAAAATATCACAACGCATTATCTAGACATTCCATTAATAAGAATTATAAATATATTTAATCAATAACCATAAAATAAATATCCACCACAAATAGATAAATAATACATAGCTCCAAGGACAAGCATGAAGATCAAAAATCATGACTTCAATTTTCGGAGATTCGTGATCTTAAATATATACATAATAATATAGCATGTCTATGTGCGCGCATATATGTATGAATGTTTTTATGTGTGTGAGCACCAAATCTTTCTAAGGGTGAGCGTTGACATTTGAGCACATGGAACATGCATGTGCACATCTGCACAGTCATTCATGAAAATAGTTCATCTTATATTTGTGGTTTGAAAGAACAAGTACTTTAAACAAGTAAATTTGAAGGAATTATGGAAAACACAGGTTCACATGACTAACCTTCGATTAGTCTCACCAATTAGAAATTTGAAGGAATTATGGAAAACACAGAATCACATGACTAACCTTCGATTAGTCTCGCCAATTCTTACTTGGGCTCCAAACGGAAAAATTTTGCAGATAGACCCTTCTAGAAGGGTTCCCACTTTTAAATGATGCATATCCTGCAAAAAATGATCAATTCACCTAAATAAGTGAGCTCAAAAGTGGTAAAATGAAGTTCATTAAAACTAGGGGTGTCGGGTCGGGTTCAAGTCTGACCCGAATAGGATTAATCCAAACCCGACCCAGACTTTCGTGCTTATTCGAGTCATGTTTGGATTTTCGGGTTCAACCCAAACCCGACAAGAATAATAAATGAATCAAATTCTCTGACCCGAACCCAACTCGAAAAATATCCGGGTCAATCCTAACCCAAATTTTTTGAGTCATGTTGGCGTGTCGGGACAATTTTTGACACCCATATAAGTGACCATGCAAAAGGAGTTATCAAAACAAATAAACCATATGTGAAATTATCTCATATCAAAACTCTAGCTAAGTGATGAGACATTAACCTATACAAAGAGAGTTCTAAGAAGTAAACGATGATTTATTGTGCCAAAATTCTAATTAAGAGAGTAAAGCATCCTGTCTCCTCTGATTATGTTGTAACTGGAAAGAGATCTCAGAAGAAATTGATAATTTGGAGATGTTATCTTTATGACTAAAACAAAGCTATAGAGCAAGGTAATCTTGCCTTCTGATAATTTTGTAACATAGAGACTAAAGACCATCCAATCCTATGAGAAAGAACTTTATTTTCCTATAGTTGATGAACTCGATGATAATGGACAGAAATTGGAACACCGCTGTAAGGACATTTACCTTCAGTTACAAGCCAGAAATGTTGACTACAACATTTGAAACAGTTTTGCACAAACTTTCTACATGAATGAAGGAACTAAGCAACATAAAAATGAAACAGCACAATTCATAAAGTTCCAAAATTAGTCACTCCATAAGAGAATTAATGGACTGTGAATTGCTGACTTAAAATATGGTTGAATGATTATTGCCCCAGTACAGAGAAAGAGGATGCGAGCACTAGCAGCCAAGAACTGGAGGCAAGGAGACTGCTGAAACTGTTCGCTACAGATGAATAATGTACGACCATAACACTAACAATATCTGGGCTTGCTGTTGATAAATTGAGCTTATTGACGGACAACTTTAAACTTCTTCAAGCAAACCTAAGCAAAGTTATCATACTTAGCATGAACAATTTGGAAAAGGCTAACTGGCCCATTGCTTTGGATTATTTTAGCAATTAAAAAGCTTTTTTCTTTCCGAAAGGGAAAGATGTGACTCATCAGGATGCATGGAAAGCTTATTTGCACAAGAAATAATGTTTATGTAGGTGAAAATGTAAATCCAAGACAACTGTAACAGGATCAAGAGACAATCATAAGAAGTAGAGATGAGGTAACAAGAATACCATGCCGAGAAAAATCAATGCACCAATTTGGGACGAGCACAAAGCAGTGGTGCAATAACCTGAATTTCTAAACAGGCGGGTTCAAGTAAACCAAACCAACAAATTAGTCAGCTACGATTGGCGAGCCCTCCTTAAATTTCAAACGATGCTTAGAGCGACAACAGGAGGAACGAGGAAGGAGAGGACAGGAAGTTGAGTGAAGGAAAGAGAGTAGAAAGTTGAAATCAAGTGAGCGAGCGGGTGATTGAGGATGACATAGGTGATCAACCGATGTTAGTCAGATTCTTTGGGCACACATGCAACCAAATGCAAGAAAAAATTTCCAGTTCAATGGCTATGGAAGGTTCGACAAGCCAATTGAGAGGATGCTAAAAAGAGGAAAGGGAGAAGGAAGTTTTGATATCTTTACCTTCTCATTCTTCTTCATCTTATGTTACCATTATTTGCATCTTCTTGTTTTGAAGAGGTACACCCAATGCATCTTCTTGTTTTGAAGAGGTACACCCAAACCTTAGAAACTTAAATTTATCAATTTATATTTGCTTATATGTGCATAGAGACCATTTTAGAAAGTTTGGTCAATTGAATACTTGAGGATTTCCGAGAAGAATTAAATCTATTAAAATTTTAATGTCTATATGGCAGTAGAAAATGGTTTTAATATGAGGGATTTGAGGGAGCCAACCCTATTTTATTATATGTGATGTACTTAGTTGTAGAAATTTAGGTTAAATTGTTAAATGAGTTTTTCAAATTATAACATAGCAAAAAATTGAGACCTTGATAAAAATCAACGAAAAAAGTTAGACTTATGCTTAATAATAGTGGATGAGTGAAATAAGATTCATCTTATTAAATACATAAATATGAATAACTTTTAAATAAAATTTGGTTTGATCTTAGTGATGCTGATATGGCAAATGATGTTCAAGGTTTCAATGCAAAGAAGATTGGGCCAACTACTAGACTATGACTAAAATAAAGATGAAATTAAGGGTTTTGATATCATAAATGTAGCCAATTTTGCTTGTAGCTTTTGAAATTTTTGTTGTGTATGTGATTATGTCTTAGAAGAAATTTTAAATTATTGCTATGATCCCATAATATGTTATCTTGTTTTGTAGTTAATGTGTGTAGCTGCCGGTCAACCTTTTTGAAGGTTTGAAAAATATGAATATGAAAATAATTTCTGAAATTTAATTTAATATAAGAGATATATAGTTTGGGTTTTGAAATTACTATGTTTTAATTTTTGAAAAAAATGAGGCCAAATGGATCTCATTCATCCAATAATCGTGTCCGATACCGCGAATACTACACCTTCCCGAAAGATAAGTGTAGACCTCGGAGATAGACCCAATCTTGCAAATTAGGAGATTTGTGACATCCGTTTGGTCTGCGAACCTTTTATGTGTGACCGACAAGTTTCCCTATCTAATATAAAGATTAAATAAGGTTTATTTTACCTGGGTTCCAAGTTCTCTATAAGGGCAAGTCCCTATAGTTAATTACATCTCAAATGACTGGGTCACTTGAGAAAACTCTCGATAATAATCAGAGGTATTAGTCTTCAAGATTTCAAAGTTTAAGCTTTCACGGTAGGACGTGGAAAAGAAAATGGGAGTGGCTCAAATATGAACAGTTATTTTAGGAGTTCAAAGGAAAGAACATGTAGGGGATGACATAGATCCTGAGGAGAAACCTCAGTGACTTCCCGGACTATTCTACTGTGTGGTTGTGTTTTTGGAGAAGATGTTATTTGAGTGTTCAATCCTATCAATTTTATTATTTGGGACTTACACTTACATAATAACTGGTTATGCAAATAGCCCTCAGAGATAAGAGGTTTTATGTCGTTCTTTACGACAACCTCGGAACCTAAGGAGAATTAGGATATACGATGCACAACATAGTTGTGCAGGGGCCAAAAAGGAGTGAGGGTTTACGTCGCTCTAGGCAAACTACCTCGAAGTCTTATGGGTTGTTTAAATTAGAAAAGTTTAGTTGTTGTAGACTCATTTTGCTGTTGTAGCATGACGAATACCTCCACCTATAGTCCGCTCCAAACTCCATGTCGCGCTGCCCACGAAGTTGCTCCAAGTTCCTAGTCATCGCGATGGCTCCAGGGTTTAAGTGCTTCAGATTGGGATTTATGTTTCACAGTTTTGATGTCAAATTTTGGTTTTGTATTGTTTCGGTTTTGGTTTTACATGCAGAATAAGCAAATTGCAAGTAAATAAAAGATACTTTGAGAAGTAAAATGCGATAAACTAAAATGTTGTAGATAAACTGTAAAAGCACACTTGGGCATCTGCTGCTATTGCGTGATTAATATTGCGAACATAGTATGACTTGCGACAGATTTAAATAAACTCGCAAAACTATAAACTCGCAAGAAAAATAAACAAGGCGAGAAAACCAAGCACAAAAGTCAGAAAAATGAGTAGTAAAAATCACGAGCAAAAGAAACCCTTAGCCACATATGAAAGATCAGGACTGGGTATAAGACATTGGCAAAAGTGGGTGGCTCAGAGCTGGACTGTATGCTTCCGGATCTTGAACAAGAGTTACCAGCCTGACAATCTACAGAAGGCAGTCCTTAACCTCAAATCCAAGTGACTAGCCGTGAACCTTTATAAATTTTCATAGAAAGATTTTCATGGCAAAATTGTTGTTCAAGTCTTTTTTTTTAAGTAGAGTTCTTTTTAACATGCAAAATAAATTTTTATTTTTATTTTTGTAAATATTTTATAAAGTCGTATAGTCCACAGGCTAGTCACTCTAATCATGCTAGAACTACTGAAAATCTAAGAGTGTCGGGGGCAACGATCCCACCAAGAATCTGCGAATAGCATCATGAATCTTTTCCTCTCCTTTATTGAACATCCTTGAGGTAGTAGATACTATTCTAAAAATCTCATTTCGTATCCCTCGTTTAAGCACACATAAACAGTGTCGTCATCGCCCTCGCCACTTAGACCCTAAACTTATCCTAATCTGATGATTCATATGTGGCACTAACAAATTTCTCAAATTGTCAGGAGGATTTGAGTGTAATATCTTTTCTTAAGCAAATCCAAGCTCAAATCCTGGTGCACTGGGTTTCATTATAGGTTAAGTCATTGCGGGAATTTCACTATTGATTTAAATTAAGGAAGTGGGAATTTCGCTGTTAATTTAATTAAGGAAGCATTCACTACGTCTCAGTGCATCCTCATGTCTAGTGTCTTAATCAGTTTGTGAATCAGACTTAAGTGTCTAGTTTCATTATTCATTCAAAAATTAGGTGGATGAACGCTCACCTAGGGTGTATTCCTAAAATCTCGGAAGTCTATGCTGAGAATTAGGTAAATGGACTCTCATAAAATCTAGAAATCTATGCTGAGAATTAGGTGGATGAACTCTCACCTAGGGTGTTCTCCTAAAATCTAGGAAGCCTGCAATAAGAATTAGGTGGATGGGCTCTCACCTAGGGTGTGCTCTTAAAATCTAGGAGCTTACACTTTAACATGTGCTTAAAGTGATTTAAGTCATCTACCTTCAATTAAGTGTTTTCCAACTAATCCTCAAATATTTACTAATCCTCATTAAGTGTTTTCCAACTAATCCTCAAATATTTCTAAGTGTCTTTCAAATAATTAAATCAGAAATTCTCATTTTTTGACTTAACCATGATACAAAAATAAC